GGATGTGAAGGCACCTCCTTTAACCTCAGAATATTCTCTCAAGGGCGCTGGAGCTGTTTAATCAGCTGCCAAGGGAAAGGTGGCCATCCTATGCTCAGTGAGAGGTTCTTCTTCAGGAGAGGCTCCTATTCTCATTTCAGCTCTGCTGAGGTTCAGATTAGACACACACCCCCTCCGGGGAAAGGCAGGCATTCTGGAACACGGCAGAGGCCCCCTGACCACCAGGATTCCCATCCTTGCCTACAAGCAGCACCCACCTCAGTCATCAGCCGGTCCGCCCCTGTGTTCTCTTCATCCTTAAAGATGATGTCAGGGTTGTAATTGGGCACCAAGTCCTTGAAGCGGTCCGAGCGGCGAGTTATTTTGCCCTCTGCCTTCCCGCTGGCCCCCAAGGTCTGCTCCGCAACATTGGGCACAAATTGTTTATACTGCAGGGGAGTCAGGTTCTTGCGGGCATAAGGCTTCCGCCCCACCGGGCCCCTCCCTGGGCCGCAGCCCCCTGCAGGAAGCAGCAGGGGCCAAATCACCAGGCACAGTCCAAGCGGGCAGAGCAAGGCATGCCTGCGCCAGGCCATCTCCACCAGGGAGCAAGGGCTGCCCAGTGGCCAGCTTGCCTAAGGGGGCAATTTTCTGCTAGTCGTCCTCAGCTGTACTGCTGGGACTGTCCGCTGTGGTAGGCATCCTCAGGGCAAAGCTGGCTCGTGCAGATGCCCACTGGTGGTTTTGAAAAGAGCCCTCTACACCCCCACCCACCACGAGGACATGGGCCTGCCCTCCTCTACTCACGCAACCTCGCCCACTGGACCACATCTGAGATTCTGGCCGCTCCTAGTGGGCGCAGGCAGTGCCCCCTCCACGTCGGTCAGGCACCTGCCGGCACCTGTCACAGGCCAGCCTGGCGCCTTCTGCCCACCCCCGGACGCCTCCCGCCCGGCCTGCCAAGAGCCACCGCGGTGCCCCGTTCGCAGCCAGGGACAAGCGGCATCCTTGGCCGCGGACTGGAGACCGACAGCCCGAGCAAGCGAAGGCGGGCAGACGGGCGCGCCGAGGGGGCGGTGCCGTGGCCGGCGCGGGGCAACCCAGCCGGGTGGCCTGCGTTACTTACTCCGGCTGGCCGACTCCGCCTTCTAATTCCCCCCCCCTTCTCCCCACCCTTCCTTGACATAAAACCCTGGGCTTATATCCCAGGAACTAAAGCCCACAGGGAAGCGCGGCCCCGGAGACGGGCAAGGGCGACCCACAGACTCACATGCGGACACCTCTGGGCGGAGAACCGTGGCGATGACGCCTTCGGGCGATGGTGGAGCTCCCGGTCGCGTCCCGCGCCTTCCACCGCCGCGCGTCGCCTCCTGGCCTGACTCCGTCCCGTCTGAAGAAGCGAGCGCCGGGCGCGGGTTCCCCCTTCTGCGCAACTTTCTCTCTCACGGGCGCCCTCTGCTGGAGAGGCTGGCTCAGTGGGGACGGGTCTCTCCTCCAAACCTCGCAATCCCCGTTTTAAATTTGCCGCAAGGCCGCCGGGAGCGAAAGGGCGGCGGCAGGAGCGGCGGACCGAAAGCACAACGGCAACGAAAGCGTTTTGGCCACCTAAGCTGCAGACCTGAGGGTTCGCGGGATTGGGGTGGGGAGGGGGCAGGGGAAGGAAGGGCACCCATCTCCCCAGGCCTAAAACTTGGCACTCTTCAAAAATGTACACAGGTGAAAACTACAGTCAGGCCAACAATCTCCAGGTATTATTAAACGCACGCCGGCAGGCCGATTGCGGCTTAAGGGTTTCCGTTCTCTTCTGGGGAGGGACACCCGGGGACTGTGCAGCTTGCCCAAGGCTACACAGGCTGACCCCTCTGAGATGCATCGCGGGGAACCTCTGGCTCTGCAGCTGGAGACCTAACTCACAGACCTATCCAGACCCCCCCCCCATACACACACACACACACACCAATTATTTCTGCGGGCACGCCTGCTCTCCCACATACCGTGTATGTGTGTGAATAACCCTATGAGTGCGTATTTAAGGCTACACAGACTCAGGGTGTTCCTTGCAACACAGCCTGCAGTCGGCCTATGTCTCTCTCATCTACCCCGTGTCTCCCTGTTACCCACCTATCCCTCCTCCCTAATGACATGAAGTTGAGAGAAGTATGCCTCAGTAAGGGAAGAAAAGCACCGAGGGGACCGCCCTGAAGGCCGGTTATTGGTACCTTTCCTGTCTGCTCACCTTTGCTTGCTCTGTTCCCAGATAAAGGAGAATAAATGGAGGCAGAAGCGACCAGGAGCCCATGTTGGCAGGCTCTTCTGGAGCAACCGCCATCTTTGTGGAGAATCTTTTTCCTTGCTGAGCAGGTCTGATCCTTACCTTATCCGGCTGAGGAAACCAGCCCTGCTTCTCTGGACCTGGTGTGGTATGGTGCTGGCAGTACTTTGCCTACACATAAAAGGCACAACCCTAAACAGGCCAGAGCAAACAAGGAAAAGGAAAGGAAACACAGCCACAAGTCTGGAAAAAGAGGGAAAACAAGTTAGCCCCTATCTTTCAAGTTAATGATGGGGCATAGCAGGCGAGGGCCATGGAAGGGGCAAGGTGCAGCTAGGCAGGTACACCTGTGGTTCTGAATTTGTCATAACTGTGGGCACAAGAATGGCTGCGGCCGCTCTTCCCTCAGTAAAGCCTAGCTAAATGGGCTCCAATTAAGGCGAGGAGGGGGAGCCACCTGTCCACGGCAACTGCTGCCATACATCCCTTGGCAGGAAATAATGCAATGTACCACCACTTCCACAGTTCCATTGGCACTGGATGCCTCGGGAGGGAAAAGAGGAGGCCATGTGGCAGGAGCCCTCCAGCCTGTACTGTGCACGGGTGGAACCCAGCCGGCAGTCATGACAGAGCTGTATTCCCTTCTAATATCGAGGCCATGCCAAGGAGGGGAACATGCTTTGTTCCATAGGCTTGGCCTCAAGATGGTTATTACTGAGATACAGTACTAGGAAAGATTACCATATCCTGCATGTATCTGTGTCATTTATCTATATACTAACCAACAGGCAAATACCCTTGGGGCAACTGAAAAATGTTGAAATATTTAAAATATGAAAAATACAGGCTTCTGTTTAAATTTAGCTGCTGCATGTTTCTGTTTTTTCCTGCTTTCCTGTCAGGAATAAGCATATTGCAAAGGAGGAAGGTAGGATTCTGGCAACATGCAGAACGCTCTGTTATTCTTTGTACTGAATCACTCCCTCACACATATCCCTCCAAATTAGAACACACACACACACAGATATCATGTCAGGGCTGCAATCCACTTTAGTTTGGAGAGGCAACCTGCCGGAGAAATGACAGGTTACCCACCTGTAATTATAGTTCTTTGAGAAGACCTCTGTGATTCTCACCCTGGGTGATTTGTGCCTGCGTGGAACCTCATTGGAAGATTCTAGAGCTTCTG